CTTCATCACGCAGCAGGGCTTGCCTTTCAGGAATTGGGGAACCCAGCCCCCAGGGCTTGCACTTTTAATGACCCCAGTCCCTGTCCTCAGCCTTTTCCCTGCTCGTTGCCTGCAGCCTCGCCGGCTCAGCAGACACCTTGGAGCCCTGTGCATGGGAAGGTGCAGCGTGTGCCACCGTCTCGTGCACAGATGGAACTGGAGCACGTCCCTTCTACTGTCAGAAACGTCACTCATGAGCTACTACTCAGTTTAAAAAAAGAAAAAAAAAAAAGAAAGAAATGCCTTCCAGCCTATTTCTGAATGCTGACAAAGGACAAGGTGCTGGTCCAGCTCTGCGATACCCCTCAAGGCAACATTTAGTACCTGGGGGCATCTTCCCTTGCCTCCTCCTGTCCCCCACAGCAGTGCCCTGCTTGGTGCCAGGCAGGGTGCAGAGAGCATCCCCTCCTCGCCGCCACGGTTTGCACCCTGCCAGGTAGGGTTACGTCTGAGCGGGCGCCCGTGGCTCGCCTCCTCCCCGCCGCCTTCCTTTGCTGTGTGGTGTTTATGAGAGATGCTGCGCTGTCTGCTCCTATTTTATGTGCTGCCAGAGCTTGTCAATGTGCTGTTTGGTACATTAACAAATCGACACTACACAAACAGAGAGCTAACAGGGAATGATTTATCCAGGACACCACGTCTGTGTGTCCAGCAAGGCGAGGTGTCCTGGAAACAAAATTCGGTATTTACCAAAGACTCATCAGAAGAGCTGGTGTTCCGTGCCACAGCTGAATCGTGCTCATACCTTGCTCTTTCTGGGTGTTGCTCGTTTAATCATAGGATGTTTTCCTTTTAATTAGTCACTGCTGCTGCTGATGAGAGAATTAGCAGGCTCTTCTCTTAATGGAGAAGCTGAGGCTGTGGCAGATGTGCTGTAACCAGGGTGGTGGGCAGGAGGCTTTGTGCTGCAAAGAAACCCCAGGGTCTGCACCTTGGGCTCTGCTTCCCCACAAAATGCCCTTTCCAGGGGTGTTCCTGGAGGGGTTTGTTTTCCAAATATATTATTTAGTGAAAGGAAGGATGCTGCCTTCCTGGCTGCTGTGTTGTGACCCTCGGAGGGGAAAGGTGCTTGATTTTACTGGCTCTTTTCCTCCATGCCCGGCGAGGACCCGTGGAGCTGGTTGTGTGCCAGGAGTTGGTGGCTCCCCCAGGTACATTACATCTAGAGCTGGTCAATGCTGTTTTGATAGGACAGTTATTGTCAGAAAATGGCAGTTTATCAAACTTGAAGCTGTTCATGGGAGAAGAGAGGTTTCAGTGAGCTGGCTTAAAAAAAATATTATTGCAATACGTTGTCTGAGATGTTTGAAACGTCCATTTGAACAGTTGAGGAACAAAAAGTTCCATGCTCTTCTTCAAGCTGACTTTTATTTATGTTTTTTAATTTCAGTTGATTTACGGTACAGAGCAAATGGATAAGGGAATAGGGACTGAAATGGAGGGGAGAGCTTTTCAAAATTTTGGGCACAAAGTGTCTCAGTTTGCCAGTTCTGAAACCCTGCGTTCCTTTTCAGGATGGAATGACAATTTTGATTCCCACAGGAGAGAAAAGCCACTTTCCTGCTGTATTGTAATGATGTCTCAGACACGTTTATGATTTCTCTAGAGCAGAAGCATCTTATAAACAGTCTTCTTGTCTATACACATCTCTGGCTGCATGGAAATCCCGTAGCTGGCATTCTCAGAAGTGTTTGAATCCCCACTGCCTGGCTGTGGTCCCCTTGGGCAGGCTCACGATCTCAGCCCACCTCTATTTTTATAAATCATTCCCGGTGGTGCTTGTGGCAGTGATCCAGGCGGGTGCCCCATGGACTGGCTGCAGGGATGTGTCCCTCGAAAGGGACGTGGAGCTGTTGCAGGGGGCTCGTCAGCTGCCCTGGGGAGCGAGGGGCTTGGGGGACAACGCTCCACAGCCGTCTGCAAAAATCCTCTGAGTAATTCGCATCGCCCTGTCTCAACTGTTTAGGGATGTGCTGTTTCCCAAAAGCAAACTAACTCCTCAATTTCAGCTGGGTCCGGTTGCAGTGTGCTTCCAGCAGATGCTCCTCGCCCTCCCCTGGCAGAGCTCCAGGCTGCCCTGGAGACCCTCCGCTTCTCCCAGCTGGGTGAAAGGAGAGTTTTCTCTTCCTCTTTCAACCCATTTTGGCCATTAATCTTAGATTTTTGGATATTAATTCTCACCTCTGGTTCGGGAGATCCCACTCTTTATTATGGGTGCCCAGTGTCTCAGATATTAAAAATGGTTTATGCAAGGGAAGTGGAAAAGGGTGTGTAGAGGAGTCGGGGGCCAGGCAGCTTTTTTGGGGTGAAGCAGGGGGAAATGGATGGATCTGGTGCTGTTGTTGGTGCTGAGCATCGCCATGCTGCATGGGCTGGCCCGTAGCCCTCCCATGCTGGTGCCAGGGGTATTTGTGGCTCTCATGAACCTGGTGGGCTGGGAGGGATGCTTTACAGGCTGGGGGGGTCACGGCCCTTTCAGTGGGTGCTGGGGGTCCTGGGAGGGTTGCAGCATAAGCGCTGCTCCCCACATCAGCCAGCTGTGCCCTGCCAGCGCCTCCCATCCGGATTTGTACATCCCAATAACATCTCCAGCCAGAAGGCACTTGTGAAGTGCAAAGTTTCATTAATCCACGCTATTAACACAATGTCCCTGCCAAGGCTGGTTGGGTTTTCCATGTCAGCCCCGCGGGGAAGGGATGCTGGGGCTGCGGGAGATGCTGGATGCTGCTCACGCCTCGAGGGACTTAACCGGGTTGCGCCTGCGGGGCAGGTTAGATTTGGCAGCGCGGTTGCAGAGGGGGAACAGAAGGTGGAAATCAGCCTTGGGGGCCTGGGTTAGTGGCACTGATGGATGAGAAGGAAAGCTTCCAGGAACACGTTTCCTTTCCAGCAGTATTGCGGCGGTAATGATAACAGCGCAGCCTGCCTCGGTGCTGGGGCGCTCACGAATTAGTTGGCATTTTTTTTGTGACTAATGTAGACTTTCAGCAATTTGAAATTGTCCTGCGGTGCAGCTTGACATATAAGTTCTCGGCCTATTTATTACTTTGTGTCTGAGTGTTCCCACAGGTATATGATTTTAAACCAGGGCTGCGTTTAATATTGGGAGCTGGAGCATTTGTATTTTAGCTCTAGATCAGCGAGGCGGCGATTTGGGCTGTATCTCCAGTGTGTTTGGCAAACTCTAGCCCAGGGATCCGTTCCTCAGCAGGATGTCTGAGGTACAGGAAGTGTTCAACACCCCCTTTATTTTTCTTTTTTATTACTTTTTCTTTTCAATGCTGCTGTTTCCTCCTTTCCCATCCTGTGACCATTGCTGTGTCATCACAAGCTCCCACTGGTATCAGTGCAAGTCTCCAGGGATTATGCTACCATGCTGAGATAACATCAGACCAGTTTGGGTCCCCACCTATCATCGCACTGGGTTGGAGGAACTTGAGCTGCAAGGGTTTGGCCAGCTGTGCCTGGAGACTTCAACCCTGAAAAAGAAAAAGTGAAATGCCGACATGGATTTATCTGTTTATTTGCCAGCATTTATCTGTGGAGCCTTTGGTCATTGTAGTTTCCTGGGGCTCTGAAACACGGTTGATCAAGAGTCAACCCTGGCCCTGAGCCATCCCCTCTCCTGTCTCCCATGGAGTTGGGTTGGGGTTGGGTCACCTCATGTCAAACCCTACAGCTCATCCCGAAGCATGTGCCACGGCGTGGCAGCTCCTGCTCTGTTGTAGGAAGCTTTTGGCCAGCCATGAAGGTGTTTCATGAAAGTGGTGGGAGCAGTCTAACAGCATGCACCACACATTGGCTTCTGCTCATGGTGTAGCTGCTGTGAACCCGTACATCTGGCCATAACCCACCGTGGTGTTCAGGCATCTAAAGCGCCGGGTGGCTGCATGGGGGGATTTAGAAAAGTACCCGAGTGAGCTAAGTGCCAAACGACCCCTAAGAGGAATCCAGCACCCAGCGTGCATAAGGTGTTTTGTGAACTGTGCCAGCCTGCTGCCCAGTGGGGCACCTTGGCTTTGCCAACACGACCCTGGGGCCATCTGCCAGCAGGACACTGCCTCTTGATTTTAATGAAGCCTTTAAATAGAAACATGGAGTTGCAGCCATGTGTTGGGGTTAAATGGGGAGAAAGGATCTGGTACTGCAGATTCTGCTCCTGTCTTTGCCGCTGACTGATCCTAAACAGACTACGCCACCGGTTTTTGTCTTCTGCCATACGTTTTCCAATAATGCCCGCCCACCCGCCGGGGAAAGCACAGCGCTGGGTGTCTGCAGGCATTGTTGGGAATCCTCTGTGAAATATGCTAGAAAAACATGAAAGGTATTAATTGAGGATTATGGGAAGTCTGTTTGTTAGGTTTTTTTGGTACCTCTATTTTTAGATTGCTAGGCTGAACTACCAGGATCAGGCCCTTCCTCAGTCACAGTATTTGGGGCTTCCTAATAATGAGGGGGTTTTGAGCTGTTCCTGTTATAGCACCTCAAATCTCTGCATTTGAAAATCTTACCTTAAATCTTTTGATGAGATGTTAAATAAAAAAAAAAAACAGGCCCTGAAAGGATATTTATGTGAGAAAATGGTCTGACTTGTCCTGCGTAAGCAGAATTGGTTTGGATAGGATGTGAAAGCGTTAAGGCTCGGTACACGCCACTTCTACATAAACCTCCTGAGGTGGTACTAAAGCTGCGATTAAAGTGAAGTCCATGTCTGGATTTACCTGCTCAATTTTCAACGGGTGTATAAACCTTAAATACTCTGACAGGTCTTTTTTTTTTCTTTTTTTTTCTGCTCTCTCCTGGGCTTTGAGTGAGCTGTTACCATTTTCTTACTACACCACTGGCATTGGGATTCCTACACTTGCAGTACTGGGGCTTGTTTTTCCAGGTGTAATTTTGGATATGCCTAACGAATGGAGCTGTGCTGCTTACGTGTCCCTTTCCTCCTCTTCCTTCCCCAGCCAGAGGAGCTTACCAACGCCCTGGAGATCAGCAACATAGTCTTCACAAGCCTCTTTGCCCTGGAGATGCTGTTGAAAGTCCTTGTTTATGGTCCTTTTGGCTACATTAAGAATCCATACAACATCTTTGATGGGATCATCGTGGTGATTAGGTACAAACCTAGAGCTTGCTTTTATGCGTGTTTCCCCTCATTTGGCTGTTTAATTAAACAGCAAGTAATGGAGAGTGGGCATAAATACCTTCCTATGACACTTTATGCTTCTCTGCTGTAAATTCATGCACTTAGACACGATGGCTAATATGTATCTTGGGGTTATTTTATGGTCATTTTAGAGAGAGGCCCAAGCAGAAAGCTATCAGTCCCAATGTCCTGGGAAAGTTTAGGATCCAAATGGTACAACCAGTGCCTGATTAAGTAGCTGTCTGGTTTTTTTGGCATGTGCAAAGGCTGTAATTGCCCCAGCAGCTGCAGCCACTGATTTGCGGGTGTGTTTTTGACGCTCTAGTGGGGCTCTGCTCTTTGCAAGCCTGGATGGAGTCCAGCTCACCAGGGGCATTGGCAGTGCATCTCTGCCCGCTTTCCAGCCCTCTTCTCTCTGAATTTCACCCTCCCTTTGCTTCCTCTCCTCAGTGCCTTTGTGTTAGGCTTTGTCTTCTCAGCCAGCAATGACTTTTTTTTTTTTTTTTTTTTTTTTTCC